CTTAGCCACAGGGGGTGCTTGCAGGGGGCAGGGGGGAAGATGCTGCTGAGTGCTTGGTGGGACCCGTGGGATGTAAATCCTTAAGGCCACCTTCATCTTCCTTGCAGAAGTGCCTAACTGCCAGTCCTCATACCTGCAGGGGGGTGTCTTCCCAAGCAGCCATGATGGTGAGTGCACCCCCGGCCGCCTCCTGCTCATAGCACCTCCTGGTGTGTCCAGTCCCATCACTCACTCGGGGCAGGCAGACCTTCCCTCCCTCCCAGCCGGCAGAGATGCCGAACACCCTGAAAACACCTGCAAGAGCCTGTGTGTGAGCAGCACCAGCACCACCGCTAAAAATAGGGCCTGTACCATGCAGCCACTGGCCCCTGCGAGAGCACAGCAACACTGCGCCGTGTAATCCGGGATAACACACCCGATATAGCTGCTTAGAAGGTTTTGGTCCCCCCAGCTCCCTGGGGTGAGGTGGGGACAGAGCTGGACGGTGCCACTGAAATAACTGGGGATGGATACTCCCAGTGTTGGGGGATGGGGTCTTGGGGCTGGATTGGGCCACGCTGGGGGTTTTCTGGGCTCTGGCTGGGGCGGTGGAGAGGCCCTGTGCTCACCAAGGATCTTCTTCCTCTAGGATTTTCGTATGAAAAGGACACACGATTGTATTTTGATGACACGTGCGTGGTACCGGAGAGGCTGGAAGGTAAGAACCTGTCCCCAGAGGAGGCTGGGGAGTGACTAGGGCTCATGGAGGGAGATTTGGGTGGCCGGGCTCCACAGCAGCCAGCTGTGCTGGCATGGTGCTCTTAAGAGCTGCCGAGCACCGTTCCACGTGGCTGCTCAGCCATGCCCTGTCCCTGCCACCCACCCCATGCCTCACCTGCCTGCAGCACCATCCCCAACACCTCTCCCCTCTCCAACCCTGTGGCCTGACTCTGCATGGGGGGTCCTGGCATAGGGGTGAGCCCAGTGTTGCTGTACATGTCCCCTGGCGGGTGGCACAGCCTGGGAGAGGGGCAGAGCCAGGATGTTTAACCAGCTGTGTCTTGGTGCGGGCAGGTAAAGTGAAGCAGGAGCCCACCCTGTACCGTGAAGGCCCTCCCTACCAGCGGCGCGGGTCCCTGCAGCTCTGGCAGTTCCTGGTCACCCTCCTGGATGACCCTGCCAATGCCCACTTCATCGCCTGGACTGGCCGGGGCATGGAGTTCAAGCTGATCGAGCCTGAGGAGGTACTGGGGGGAGGGTGGTCCTGCCCCAGCATCCAGCATGCTGGAGCTGGGGCTGCAGCCCCGGAGCAGCCACGGGGTGAGCCTGGGGATGCAGCAGGGGGCTGGATCCTCCCATGCAGCACAGCAGTTCACGCTCGTACTTGAAGCGAGACGTGTGTCTTTACTCTCCGGGCAGCTTTTGAGAGCGAGAGGGAAAAGCCAGCTGCCTGTCTGTGCTTAGCCATAGAAATTTGCCTTTTGGCACAACATGGCATGGCACCTGCTCTGCTCCTGGAGCCGCTGCTGGTCACCAGCTGTGGTGGCTTTGCCTCTGTGCCTCGGTGAAAATGGCTCCCTCCCTCCTGTGCTGCTCCCATCCTTCGCCCTGGGTCCCTGGGCGGCAGCTCAGTGCCATGCCAAAGCCCTGCGGCTCTGCAGAAGGGTGACACAGAGGAAGAAGCTGTTTGGAGAGTAGTTGAAAGCAGCTGTAGCACCGAGCTGCGCATTGTGGGTAATTACCCATAATATATCTTATGCCGTGCATGGAAATTATGTTTTTTTGAAGCAGCTTTTTTGGCATGCTCCCGCTAATCAAATGTCTTTTGATTCTGCCCCTGGTTTGATATCAGCGGCGTTGTGGCAGCCAGTGCTTGGTGCTGGAGCATTTACTGCAGCAGGCGGGGAACTGCTCCAGGACTGCAATGGTGCTTTCACCCCTGGCTGCTCCAGCCCCCAGAAACGAGTCCCTGCCCTGCATTTTTGGTTATGATTTCCTTTGAGGATCCAGATGCGAGCCTTCATGGATGCTGCTTCTCTTCCCCCGCAGGTAGCGCGGCGCTGGGGCATCCAGAAGAACCGGCCGGCCATGAACTATGACAAGCTCAGCCGCTCCCTGCGCTACTACTATGAGAAGGGCATCATGCAGAAGGTGAGTGACCCTGCTGCCACGGGTGGGTGGGTGGAGGGTGTGACCGTGCCCCACTGTCACCCTGGCATCCTGGGACATGGCAGGAGAGGGGGTAAGTCCAGCATCGGTCGTGCTGTGGTTCTTATTCCCTGGGGGGGAAGGTCTGGGGCACCTCTCATGCCCTCCTCCTCCTCCTAGGTGGCCGGCGAGCGGTACGTCTATAAGTTTGTCTGCGACCCTGACGCCCTCTTTTCCATGGCCTACCCCGACAACCAGCGTCCCTTCCTGAAGACAGAGCCTGACTGCCCAGTGCCTGAGGAGGAGACGGTGCCGCTAACACACTTTGAGGACAGCCCGGCATACCTCCTGGAGATGGATCCCTGTGGCAGCCTTCCCTATGCAGAGGGCTTTGCTTACTGACTTGGCCAGCCGGTAGAGCCACGAGCACTAGCGCGTCTACTTTGAGCAAACACAGTTTTGTAAAGAATATTTTTTTGCTGTTCATAAGGAGAGGGGAAAAAAAAAAGCCAACAAAACCAAACCAAACCGCATGTGCGCACACGCAAATTGGAGGAATCTAAAATGCCCGGTGTGTGTCACCACCGAATTCCACCGTTACTGTCCAAGGGCTAGTGCATAGGACTGCCTGTGGCTGGCATCTCCCACCAAGCATCACCATGATGTTTTGGGGCAATGGGAGCTAAAGATGCAGTCTCTGACCTGGGTGCCCCATTCCTCGCCAGCACCGTGAGGGTTGAAGGCTCCAGCAGCACCCCAGGACTGGGCTGAGCCAGCGTGTGGCCACCTAGCCAATTGTCATGACAATCTGCTTTGCATTGAGCGTGATCTGCGTAGCTGCCTTGTGTGGTGGAAAGGGCTTCGATTTGCACAGAGGAGGGATGGGGGGGTGGGGAGGGGGCTGCCTAGGCCAGCACACTGGGGCTGATGTATGCAGCATCCTACCCCAACCCCGAGGAGCCTTCTGCCTTCTTCCCAAACTGCCTCTCCCTGTCCCACCCTTGTGATAGAACCCCATACAATGGTTTCTCAGCCCCTCCTGGGTCCTCTCCATGCCCTTCTTACTCCTCCTCCCCAGCTCAGCTGTAGGCCAAGGGTTGTATTTCAGGGGAGGAGAACCTGACACTGTTTCCCTCTCTTCCTTTTTGTTTTTTTTTTGATGTTTTAGGAGGGGAAAAAAAAGGTTTCTAAACTGATTTTTGTAGATTTTTTGTATTTTAAGGCAAAGCTATTTTTTGCAGCCCGGCTGCTGTTCCTAGAGCCCCTGGCTTTCCCGGTGCCATGCTCTTGGGGGGGTGCTTGCCCACGGCTCCCCAGGATGGCTGCCGAAGTATCTGGTCCACTCCATTTCACCACTCAAGCCCTCTTTCCCAGGGGAGCTGGGGCTGAACCTCAGTGCCAGCTCAGCTGGGCTCTCCCCCTGCTCGGCATGGCCGCAGAGCTGAGCTGTAAGGCTGCAGTGGGCAGGGATGGCGCAGTCCCCCACCACGCTTCCTGGGTACCCCACTTCCCTCCAGCTCCCCCTTCCCTGCTGCACCTCCTAACACTCCTCCACCACTCATATATCCATATGTCTATCCCTCAGCGGCTACCTGGTTTTGATGTAAATGCTGTATAGGATTTTTTTTCTCTTCCTTAGTTAGCTTTGGTTGGATTTTTTTTTTTTTGACTGATTCATTCTTTTTTGAGGAAGTATGAAGATTAACTCTGGGTAGACTTGGTTGCACTCCCTGTGGTGGCTGCAGCACCTGTGGGGAGCACTCAGTTGTGGAAACCCCACCTTGGGACAGTGTTTGAACCATTTGCTTGGCGGGGCAGGTCTACAGTGCAGAATGGGTTAATCTGAGGACTGATTTGAAATAATCTTTACTCGGGCAGGGCTATGTATCTCCTGCAAAGCTGCATTACATTCTGTACTGTGTACAATAAAGGATCTTGCTTTCTGTTCCTCCCTGGCTGCCTGGGCCCATGCTTTGCCTGCACAGTGGGTTGCTGCTCAGGCTGGGAAGGAGAAATGGGGGCAGAAGTGGTCTGGGGTATGGCCCATTGCTCAAGACATGGGGAGCCACATATCCTTTGCAGGAGCTGGGACCAGGTGGGGGTTCCAGGTCACTAGGGCAGGGCTGCCTCTCCCCAGCCCTGGGGCTGTTCCTCCCAGGTCTGGATGCTGCCACAGCTTTCACAAAGCCACGGCTGGTGAGAGGATCTGTTTTGGGCAGCTTCTCCTCAGCCAGGTGCCATTTCACGTTGCCTCTTCCTAAGGGTTTCTCAGCTGGTGGGTCCAGCTGCCTCTGTCCCTGGTGCTCCCCCCTGGAAACCCAAGTTCCCTGCCATCCAGCAGGGCTGAAGCTGGTGGGGACCTCTCAGTGGTGGTACCCAGAGAGGAAAGCCTTTTCAGGAACTCCTGGCAGTGGTCCCCCAGCACTTACTGGCCCTGTTTCTAGGCTGGGAAAAATCCCCACAGAGCAGCAGTGTCCGCAAAAGGCTGAAGGAGGTGGGTGAAGGGCAAGGGCTGCTCCACAAGGACTTGACTCAAGTGAAGGGTCTGTGTTTCACCTGGCAGGCTGGAGGAAAGCTCAAACACCCTAGAACTGCCTGGTCATGTTGGCCTATATTTCAGTCTAAAGCAGATAGAGCCGGGGTGTCCACTGGCTCCCAGTCCCATCCCATTGCAGGGTAGTGGAGTGATGCTTCTGGACATACTGATGGCTCTTCTTTTGCAGGCTGTTCTCACAGCCCAGCCAAACTCCGTCCCTAGACAAGGCAGAGGAGAGATGGAAAGACCTTATGTGCCGCGATGCTTTTACATACTGCATCTCACCAGGTCCGCAACTGGCTGCTAATAGGTCCCTGAGCTGCTCTTCTTCCATTGTGCCTGAAGTACTAGGCTGGGTGGAGAAGTGTGGCTGTCTCCTAGCCCAGGCAGGGCAAAGCAGTGTCCTAAACACCTAGCAAAACCAATTCACCCAGCGTGAAGCTTTCCAGGTGTCAAATCAGCTGCTCAGTGCCTGAAGACATCTTGCACTCCCCAGGGAGCTCCATGGCACCAAGCCTTGGTGTTTTGGCAAGCGAACCTCTAACTGTTGCTCAGGTAGGCTCTCCTGTGTGGGCAACGTGTGGCCATCTAGCAGCAGGGAGCCATTCAGGTAGGAAGGAGCTGCAGGGCGAGCCCTCCTCGCTGTGCTGCAGCAGGACTGCTGGGCACCCACATGGGGCTCTCAGTACAGTGAAACCCCCATTGGCCTGGGCACAGCTTGTGCCAGCCTCCCAACCCTATCCCATTTTTATTTTCTACAAAGCTTTGTCTTCTGCCTAAGACTGCAAAACTTAAGTTAAACAAGTGGGAATATGAAAAACCTGGCTGGCAATCTGAGCTCCAGAGAGTGACCAGTAATCCCACCTTGATGGGGATTTCAGCAGACTGAGTCCTGGTGCTCAGGATGGAACAAGGGGAAAACGGGGCCACTGGCAGCGCTGCCAGCAGGCAGATGGACCTCAGCCTAGCGGCACAGCAAGTGTGTGGGACCAGTTATGGACAGAGAGGATGAGCAGATAAGGCAAAGCCTTTCAAAGCCTTCATCAAACAGCTTGTCACACCACAACCCAACCAGCCCTGCAAATCCTGCTGTGTGCAGGGCTGGGGTGGGTCAAGAGCATCCCATGCACTGCTCTTGCCAGAGGGTGAGGGTAGGAAAAGCGGCATTTTTTTCTATTCAAGCCCATCAGTGCAGGACAAAAGTGTCCAGACCCCAGAGGGTTAGATACTACGCTGGCTTTTAAGTACGCAGGTCGTCAAGAATTTGTTCCTCATTTGATCCTGCTGCACGTGATGCCTCCCTCTGCTGCATGCGAGGCTTTCGCTCTGTGCGGAGGGGATGGAGCTGCCTTGGGTGCACAGTCCCACTCTTACCCCCCAACAAGAGCGAGGGACAAGCCACAGCTGCTCAGCATCCTGCCTGCAGACCCCCAGGGACAGGGACAAGAGCTCCTAGGCAGCCCGGAGGCTGGGCTAGCATTTGCCAGGAGTTGGAGAGATTGAGGAGAAGCAGATGGAAAAGCTTCCCTGCCTGCTGTGTACCTCCTGCCCCATCAGCCGCCAATCCAGGGCAAGTGGACAAGCCCTCCTTAGACACACTCTGGCATGCAGTGGGATGGGGAGGCAGGCCGGGGGGGACTGCTGTGGCCACTGTCACTTCCCTCCAAAACCAGGAAGAGGCAGGACCACCACTGCTCCATCCCCAGGACCAGCCACCTTGGTCCCCTCCTCACACACCCCAGCACCATGTGCTGCCTGCCTTCCTCCTACTCCCCTGTGGCTGCTGGGGAGGCTGAAGAGAAATGAGCAGAGAGGATGGGAAGGATGAAGCAGCATTTTGGGGAGGATTCAGCCTTCCAGGCTGGGCAAAACCCTGGCGCTGGTGCCGGCCTCTCCAACCTTCCACATCACTGCTTCCACCTCCCACTCGGGCTGTAGGGTAACAAGACCATCGGTGATTCAGGGTGAACAACAATCTGTGATACTGTGTGAGCAGGTAATAAAATAGTAGCTGGTAGTGAATGTGTTTTTTCCTATCTGCTTCTCTTTACAGTCTTGTAATGTGCACCAGGGAGGGACTCTGGACTAAGAGCTCAGTTTTACCACATAGTCCAAAAGCTGTTCAAATGAGAGGCACACGTTAAAAATTATTTGCAGAACAGGAGCCCACAAAAGGAGGAACATCGTTACAGCCCTCTACACATCCATAATTCACTGAGTGCATTTCTGCTTTCCCCATCTCAGAAGGATATAGCTGGACTGGAAAACATTCAAAAAGTAATAGAGATAGCCAAAGGGCTGCAGCAGCTTTTATACAGGACTGTATAAATAGTTTAACACTTCCATCTGGGGCACAATTTGTAGTTCAGGGACTTCATATTTAATAGCCCATGATGGACTTTTCCATCCCTTACTGGAAGAGCACTTGTGGGAAGAATTACTGCCCACATGGCTTGTTCTTAGGGCAGCTGGAAGGACCAGCTAGCCCAGCATGGCTGTCAAGACCAGAGGTGCTGCATGGTCAGCAGTGGCTCCACATAAGCAGTGAGACACAGCTGCCACCTGGCCAATGTCCCTTTGCCCTTTATGGTGGCCTCATGCCTGGGCTTTCCTGCTTGTGCATGTGGCTGCTGTCTGCCCTGACCAGGGAGGTAGGTCACATCGCAACAACCCCTCTCTTCCCTGGCTCTTCAAACAATTTTTTTTCAATAACTGGGTTAATTTGGCTTTTAAATGCCTGGAGCGACGTGAGTGGCTGCATGTGTGAAGCCGACATCAACATAGGTGAGCTCCAGCAATGAAAAAAGCAAAAAATTTGGGCTGGCAAGTAATTAAAAGGTGAGGACCACCCACCCACCAGGCACTGTACTATCACCCAGGGGTGTGCAGGGCACACAGCTCTCTTCGGATCAGTCTGCGACCACCTCATGTGTATCCTTCTTCT